AGTCGGCACTTGTTTCTGGGTTTCAGCCTTACCTTTACACTTGTTTGCTTTTCCATCCTCACAGCCGGTGCATCAAGTACACCCCCTGGTGATGACTATTTCACTTGTAGTTATTTTGTCATCAGCTAGAAATATCCTGAACCCGTCTCCTTTGCAGGACAGCAGATGCAAACGCCACTTGTCCTTTCCTTTCTCCTATTTCTTCACATCATCATAACTGTTCTTTTATTTTTTTACTATTTATTTCCCCCCCTCCACTGCCTGGTGGTGAAGGACAGATCCTTCTCCCGAAGGCAGCTCACCACTTTGCGTAACTTGAGTCCTACCCAAAGCGGTGGAGAAGCCCTGGGGAATGACTTTTAAGTAACGCGGGGGTCTGGAGAAAGGTTCTGGGGATAACCCGTACCCCGCAGCGAGGGAGCGGGGACTGTGGGAACAGGCTTCGCTGGTGCGAGCAGCTCCTTTGTTCTGTTTACCGAGGGCAGCAGGGGAAGGCGCTTGGCGAAGGTAGTGCTGGTGCTCTCTTAGCAACATGTGCCCGGCTCACTCCGCAGGGCTGTGTGGCGTCAGCCTGGGAATAACTGCTCCAAGCGCTCATTAGTGCTCCTCTCTCTACCCCCCCCCGCCCGGCTCTTTTTGCACTTCAGAGTTTTTGCTCAGTATCAAACCTCCTGCACAAATTCCCTTCGAGCTGTTCGTTGCGGAGTTCAGACGTGCGATGTGAACGTCTTTCCTAGGGGGGAGATCCTGAGGGGGATGCTTGCTAAGGGGAAAATGGGGGTTTGGGCTCCTCATCGTGGCGTTTGCACAAACGTTAGTTCAGAGATGCTGCGGATGCAGCACAGCCCTGTTTTTCTCTGCTCCTCCAAGCATCCCCTCGCAGCAGAGCAAGCCCGGGGCTCTCCCATCCCAACTCATCTCTTCCCGGTAATGCTGCGTCCGTGCCAGTGCTGGTAATTACAAGCTGCGTTGCCCTAGTCTTTTATTCTCTTCCAGGAGGAAAGGTAGCCTGAATTAATTATAATAACACACCTAGTGATGATTGAATTTACAGCTGTGTGTGCGTGTGTCTGGCTGCAGTGCGTTGGGCCCCATTATACAAAGATTTGGGTTGGTTTGTGGGTTCTGGGTTGGCTTCTTTGTCTGGGGAGGATTGCAGGGCTGGTCCCGCACTAGCTTGGCATCTTTGGTGCCACCAACAATTGATAATGCAGTGTGTATGGGGGGGCCAAACTTGTTTTACCTTTGAACAGCAGGTGGATTAGCCAAATAAGTACCATTAGATTTTCATGTCAGTTTGGTTATTTGTGGGATTTTTGGGGGGGAACCTCTACTGAAACTCATTGTGAAAGTCAGGGTGAACACCGATCAGGCAGCCAGTGGATCTAGCGGGCATCTTACAGGGCTCGTGCTGCCACGAGCAGGAGCAAGATCAGCCCCGCCGCACTGCCCTGGCCAGTCCCTGCACGCGGTGCTGGTCGTGCTCCCATCCTGCATCCTCCCCACTCCAAGCACTCGGAAGGAAGAAAGGCAATTTGTGCTGTAAAAGAAAGAAAACTATGTTGCGCTGGAGCATGCCAGACCTTTGCTGTATAAACTTCAAGCGGTCCGTAAAGGCAGCACAGGGTGCCCCCAGGCACACCCCGAGTTTACGGATCCTTAGAGCCAAACTGGTGCGGGTTTGCTCCCAAGGGCAGAGTGCTGACAGCATCGACAGCGTGCAGCTATGGAGGAGAAATGCTGTGCAGGGTACAGTAGGCAGAAGGTGCTCAGCCATTCAGAGTAGGAAGATACCTAATTCGGGTCCCAAAGTTCTAGATGCAGCCAGCTTGCCGCAGGAAGCTGAAGTGATGATTTCAGTGATTTGTGGAATTCAAACAAATGTCCTTGGGTCAAGACTTTTGTGGGGGGAGCTGAATATTCAGATACTTGAGACTTTACAGCTTATCTTTCCCTCCACCACAAGTTTTCCTCTAAAATCCAAGAGACAATGCAGGAAAAAGAAAAGTCTCTTTTCTTTTTTCTCTTCTTCGAAATAAAGGGTTTCCTAGGCTGTGTCTTTCCATCAGCTTGGAACAAAACAGATTTTGAATGTGGAAGTCAAACATGTCTGTGATTATAGGATGTGGTTTATAGAAGTGACTGATTTGCAGACCAATGCAATGGTTTTTCAAGAAGTATTTTGTGTGGAATGTATTAACAGTAATTTCACTTTCCCTCTGTGTTCAGGTTTCTAGTAAAGGTATTTTTCAGCCAAAAAAAATAATTTAAGTGAACATTAAAAGAATTCCTTTGTATTTTTGAGAATCATATCCTGATGGGAATCAGAAAGCCCATGATTAAAAAGGTGTGAATCCATACACAGCGCAGGCAAGATAGTCAGATAAGAGGGCAGCTATACATCCCGTAAGCCTACATTGCTGAGAGCCGTACTCAAAACCAGGTATTACCGAACCTACCAAAAGCTGCCAAGCTGAAGTCACAGATGACTGCTCTTGGCAAGTGGGCGTTGGGACGCATTCTTGCACAACAAACAGAAGTGAGGGGAAAAGAGAAGGTAAAAGTAAACCCTGAAGAGATTCTAGGGGGAAAACCATCCTGCATGCAACTGCAAGCACAGTGCTGTTCGCTGTTTGTCACCTGCTCTTTTCCTAACAAGTGTGTGCTGACCTAAAGCCCTTGTAACGTGGTTGAAGGATGTGGGAGGGCTGAGAAACTGTTTGAAATCCCTCAAGTTTTTGGAACACCTCTGCAGGGCTTTAGGGGCTGCTTTTGGGAAGGGAGATAAACTCTTATCTACAGCTGTTGTCAGATACGAATCAGAGGAAGAGCCACAGAGTACTGAAGCCGCTTCGTGGGCAGAGGTCATGCTCCTCGGTGGCTACAGTTTTGTTGGGTTTCGGACAAACTCAGATGAGTTTTGATAATACTGATTTACGAAGAGCATCGTGGTTTAACCTCCCACTACTGCAAACGGTACTGAAGTCTCCTGTCCTATGACAAATGGACAGCAGACATTGCTCATCACTCGGTTTTAGTTTTATTTCCTCCATGGGGTGCATGTGTAGACGGAGCAGTTGCATTAATGCATCTCTTCTCCTCTGCAGTACTTCAATTACATTTCCTGATATACAGTACATGACTTAATGGATGACGCATTTGTTAAAAGCTAAACCTGGGTCTAAGCCAGACCTCCCTGAAACAAGTTTGGTGGCTTCTGTCCTCAGGAAGAAGGTTTTGTAGCCTCTCTGCTGAGTCTTAATTGCTGACATTTAAGACCCATGGGATGCTCAGAACCGTTACCCGTTGGAGATGGAACTGGCTGCCTCGGGCTCCCGAGGGGAAGGTGCTGTACTTGCCACCGAAGGTGTTACGAAGACACTCAGCCGGTCCTACTCCATCTTAGCCTCGTGCTACTTGCATTAGCAGGAGCAGGTGGAGGTTGTTACAGGGTTTAGTTTACTTTGTATGACTTAAGCCTAATGTGAGTGTAAAAACTGCACAGATCCTAACGAGTTGATGGAGTTAAAGAGGAACTAATGCAGCCTTTATTCCTGCCATTTGCAGAGAATACACAACTCCTTTTTTTTTTAGCTTAATTAAATAAAAGAGCTATATGCGATGTAATTTCATGGAAATCACCGACACTTGCATTTTCCAAGTTTATTGCTTTTCTCAGTATGTGTCATCTTCCCTTTTGTATGCTCCCTTGTTTGTCATAGGTAAAACAGTCCAGGAGACACACGTCGTATGTCCCTTTGAACAGATGGATGTTAGCGCTAATTGTTTGTTTCAAACGAAACAGAAAGCACAGTTGTAAATAGCAGATAGATTCTTTGCATATCCAACTTTAAAGTGGATATTGCTTAGAGACTGCATGACATGATCACTTCAGTGCTTTCACTTGGGAAGAGTGATGCCTCTTTGTAGTAATGATGTCACTTCTGTCAATACACAGCTGCGCACGTTGTGCATTCCAGAAGATGCTGTCATTAAGAATAAAGAAACTTTCTGCAGGTCCACAGGAGTCATTTTGCTTGATTCTTTCAGGTTTGATCCCTTATCCTTTTCCTCCGAGATCTAATACGACATTTCTCTTTCTCTTGCAGACCATGCCCTCTCTATGACGGTTACTTGTTAAGCTAACTCTGCATGCCAGAAGACTGTCCTTGGTTGATCCAAGGGCTTTTGGGGACTCCGGCCTCTCCCCAGTTTTTCTGTGTGTGTGTGTTCCTCTAGAACTTTCAAAACTGTTTCTCCAAAGGGTTTTGCAGAAACTTAGACTGTTTTCTAAAGCAGAAGCACCTCAGTCCACAGCAGTAGTGATGGGCAGCGTGCGAACCAACCGCTACAGCATCGTGTCTTCGGAAGAGGACGGCATGAAGCTGGCAACCATGGCCGTTGCCAACGGCTTTGGGAATGGAAAGAGTAAGGTACATACCAGACAGCAATGCAGGAGCCGCTTTGTCAAAAAAGATGGCCACTGCAACGTCCAGTTTATTAACGTGGGTGAGAAGGGACAGCGATACCTGGCAGACATCTTCACCACTTGCGTGGACATCCGCTGGAGGTGGATGCTAGTTATCTTCTGCCTGACTTTCATCCTCTCCTGGCTTTTTTTTGGCTGCGTGTTTTGGTTGATTGCGCTGTTGCATGGGGATCTGGAGAATCAAGAAAATAACAAACCTTGTGTCTCTCAAGTGAGCAGCTTCACCGCAGCCTTTCTGTTCTCCATTGAGACCCAGACCACGATCGGCTACGGCTTCAGGTGTGTCACAGACGAGTGCCCCATCGCAGTTTTCATGGTGGTTTTCCAGTCTATAGTAGGCTGCATCATTGATGCTTTCATCATTGGTGCTGTCATGGCAAAGATGGCTAAGCCAAAAAAGAGAAATGAAACTCTAGTCTTCAGCCACAATGCCGTGGTGGCCATGAGAGACGGAAAACTGTGCCTGATGTGGCGTGTTGGAAACCTGAGGAAAAGCCACTTGGTGGAGGCACACGTGCGAGCACAGCTCCTCAAATCCAGGATCACATCGGAAGGGGAGTACATCCCTTTGGATCAAATAGACATCAATGTAGGGTTTGACAGCGGGATAGACCGCATATTCCTGGTCTCCCCAATTACAATAGTGCATGAAATAGATGAAGACAGTCCTTTGTATGACTTGAGCAAACAAGACATGGACAATGCTGACTTTGAAATTGTAGTAATATTAGAGGGCATGGTGGAAGCTACTGCCATGACTACCCAGTGCCGTAGCTCATATCTGGCAAACGAAATCCTCTGGGGCCACCGCTACGAGCCCGTACTATTTGAAGAGAAAAACTACTACAAAGTGGACTACTCGAGGTTCCACAAAACATACGAAGTGCCCAACACACCCATCTGTAGTGCCAGAGACTTAGCAGAAAAGAAATACATCCTCTCTAACGCAAACTCCTTTTGCTATGAGAACGAAGTGGCCCTCACCAGCAAAGAGGAGGACGAGATTGACACTGGGGTGCCTGAGAGCATGAGCACAGACACCCACCCGGACATGGACCACCACAACCAAGCAGGGGTCCCTCTAGAGCCACGGCCGCTACGGCGGGAGTCGGAAATATGACTGACAAACTCTTCCTCTCTCTTTTGGTTGAAAGGAAAAAAAAAATAAAAATAAATCTATCGGTCAAAGGCACGTTGACCTGAGAAGTTGGCCCAGAACAGTTTTCAGACAACGGTACTGTTGAAGAGTGGTGTGAAGGCAAGCAGACCTGAGAAACCCGGGCTGGTTTTAGGGCTGTCCTCAGAGGAGGGACGACAGAAAATGAACTCTAAACACAAAGCACTAAACATGTCTAAGTATGAACAGAAGGCACATATGTTGTAGAATAAATTATGTATATATTTTTTTACAAAACTTGAACTTGCAGGCAAGCTTTGGTTGGGTTATTATTATTTTTTTTTCAACTTTTTCCAGAATGCTTCTCTCTAGGGAACAAGAATGTTTTTAATGGCATAACAAAGGCAAGAATCTGCCTTATTATTATTATTATAATTATTTTTTAAAAAGCTGCTGCTAACTACATGAACACAAATGGTTATTTTTGTTGCAGTGTAGTTTTTATTTTCTCTTGTGTAATTTA